GGCTTCTACTCCTGAGCTGTCCTCCCCGCACGGCCAGTAGCTTCCCTGTCCGTGTCCCCGGGACAGAACCCCCCGCAGGGTGTCCTGGAGGAGGCTACAGGGTCAGTGACAGTGGCACGATGTGCAGCCCCTAGTGGGCCCTTCCTTGGTGCCTGCCTGCGGGCCGTGCAGGGGTGGGCGCGGGGCGGGACCAAGGCCTCTACCGGAGCAGCAGCAGAACCCCGTCCTCCCACGGGCTGTGGCGAGCCAGGACACGGCGTCCGTCCCCTCCAAGGGTGTCCGGGGACACTGCTGTCTCTGAGCACCAAGGGCCTGGAGTCAGGCTTGAGCCGGGCTCCGTCCTGGGCCTGGGCCCTGCCCTCTCGGCCAAACCTCCTTAGCGTTGACTGTCCGCCTGTGGTCAGCCAGAGACTCTGCCCCAGGTTGAGCTGCCCTGGGGAGCCCCACCCCCGGCCCCTGGCGTTATCACCTTCCTGTCTCGCGCTCCCTGCCTTCTGCTCCTGCTCCTCTGAGGACCCTGGCCCATCTGTCTCGCAATCCCGCACTCCAGTCCTCCTCCTTGGTCACCTGAGCTCTCTGGCAGCGCCATGACATGTCCTGATTACACGTGGGGAAGACAGCCTGGGTCCCTGTGTGCCTCGGCTTTGGGGCAGGTGGGCGGACCTACCAGGCTCCTGTGACAGGGGTCGGGCGACTTCCCTGGGGTTTCGGGGGCTTGGGGGGGGTTTGACGACCACAGCCAGCCCAGCAGCAATTCCTGGGGGTCCTGGCTGAAGGGGTCTGCGAGTCTGCTCCTGTGTGCTCCCCAATGCCCCCACCCGACTGGGGCACCCAGCCCTCTGGCCCAGGGGCTGCTGCACACTTCTGCCAGGCCCTGTAGGGGAAATTTGTGCCCTGGGCCCATACCAAATGCTTTAGCGCGGAGAAGGTTCACAGTGCCTCTGAGTGTGGACAGTGATGGAAACGTTCAGCAGATTGATGGTGCTGCTCGCAGAGCACTCATGGCTCTGGAAACACGATGCTGTACACCCCTGGAGCACGTAGGCTTTGGTCAGCTGTGCACGGGACAAATGACAGAAACCAAGGGAGAACAGGCAGAGGGCATAGCACACAGCATCCTCAGCTGGGCGGGTTTCCATGACTCCCGGATTCCTTGAGTCCCTGCAGGCCCACCTTCCAGGGGGGCTGTGACCCCCATCGTGGTCACCTCCCCGTGCCCCCCTCCCATGGTGAAGCCTCGCAGGTGCGGTGACAGGATGCAGTTCTAAATAGTGTGGCCCGCCCAGGGTGACGCCTCCTGTGCCCAGGGAGATGCTGGGGAGGAGAGCTGCTGACAGGCAGAGCCAGTGCAAAGGCCCCGAGGCAGGAGGGGCTGCTGGGTATCCCTCACCATCAGCGGAATATCTGCGCCTCCTACCCTCCACCTGCCCACTGCTTGGGGGCGCTTATGACTTCTGTGCCCTTTACATTCACCTGTTTGTTCAGTGTACTCCTCGTCTTGCCAGTCTGTGAATGTGACCCCCGTGTGATAACGCCGTTGTCCTCAAAGAGAAGAGCGAAAAAGTAGATGTTGCCGAGGAAAAGAAACTCAAGGATGGAATCACTGCTCGGCTTTATTTTTGGCCATGACACACATTTGATCACAAGTCCGTCCACCAACAGGGAGAGAAAGCAAGCAGGCCACCTGCCCTGACTGGTGAACGAGCAGAGGCAGACAATTTTGAGGTCTAAGAACATGGCAATTAATCCAGGAACCTAGGACCTAGGGAAGGATGCGCTGTCTGGCCTGGGAAATTCGGATTCAGTCTCCTCTTCCCACTAAGATGGGAAGGGATATCGAGGCCCCAAGAAGTTTATGGTGTGGAAGAAAAGGGAAAGGTCCTTAAGGAAGGAGTCGAAGACTTTGTAGAGGTGGCCAGGGTCCTGAGCAATCCACCTCCTAAGAGTGAGAGAAAACAAAAATTGAGTAACAGTAGGGAATTGTCCCCAAACGCCTTGTTTAGAACTAGCATTGGGGAGCCTCCCTGGGTCCCTTCAAATAGCAGCCCCCCTTATACTGTGGCCACCCTTCCCCCAAACCCAGCTCCTCACAGGACTGACACAGTCAGAAGGCTGCCATTGATGGTGAGCTCCCTGTAAAAGTCGGGGTGTTCATTAAAAAGAGCCAGGTATATTTTGGCGACCTCCGCTTCTAAGGGAGAAGCGAAAGGGACCCTGAGGGTGCTGTGGAGCGATGGTTAAGGCACGGTGGTGTATGGACTGGACCCCTGGACAGCCAGGTCCTCCTTCCTTCCTGACAGCTCCCAGGCTGGCCCCGGGCCACACACACCACACACACACACACACACACACACCCCAGGCGCCTCAGCCCTCCTCTCTGCCTGCTTCT